AAGAGTTGGATAAAAGTACATTAAAACTAGAATTAGTTTAAGAGTTGGATAGAGGTACCTTAAACTAGAACTAGTTTAAGAGTTGGTAAACATCAAATAAATTGGCCTTAGACTAAGAATAGTTTAAGGATATTATTGAATGAGGATGTTGAATGTTGAATATGAATATTGAATGACGAATGTTGAAAATTGATTATTGTATATTTGAACTGAATACTTTGTGCATGATATCAAGTGATTTGATTATGAATTTGGATTCAATTTATGTGGATGTTCGACGTTTTAGATATGCTTACTCAGCTTCACCGCTGAGCGTGTAGTATGTTTTATTTGCTACACGCAGGTAAACAGAAAGATTAATGTGATCCTGGCGGCAGATGGGGCGAGATTGTCGGGATGGATGTGACAAGTTTTGAAATGATTTATGATATGTCAATATTAAATTCGCTTCCGCAATATTGTTAAATACTCCGTAATATATATGTTATGAAAAATATTATTGAGATTAATAAAGTGTGTTTGAAAAGTTTTAAATTTTACGATTACCAAGTTAAATACTTTAGTCCGAATGGGGCTGCAGACCTGAACGGATTAGGGTGTTACAATTTGGTATCGGAGCAAATGGTTTTAAAACCGATCTTCGGATCAAAATTTGAATTTAAAAAAAAATGTGTCAGTCACATCCACGACTCTCGCATCCCTCTGCTCCAGGAAAGGTATGAGAATTTACCTAGTAAATATTGACTTGTTAAAATTCTCATTTGATAATAATTGTTAGTACTGAAATTATATCGAGCGTAGACTCAAGTAGAAATTTTCGTACTCGGTGAAGAGACGAAAGAATGAACGAAAAATATATGACCCTCTGATCCGTTATTAACATACGCATCGCATCGCGAATTACGAAATTGATCTGCCTCGTAAAGTCGCATGGAAGTGAGATGATTCTGAAGATACGAATAATGTTGAACAACATCTGTGAAGCCGATGTCAAAGATCCTCATGTGGACTCAAGATGATCTGTTCGTTGATTTAAACACGAACGTTTAGAATCAATAAACTCTGTTATCTAAAGTTTCCTGTTCTGATGTCCAACTCTTTACGACGCAAAGATGTGATTACATCTTATGGTTCGTTAAACGACAATTCCTTAGAAAACCTCGTTGAAGTACCATACAAGGAAATCGACATTATCCTTAGTATGCACTGACTGACTGAATGTCGTTGTTGTTGACAACTTGTGATAAAGAATTCCTCGACTGAAGGCCAATGATGGTAACATCATAAGAGGTGAAAGCAAAGCTGATTTTTAAACCAACCGAGTTCATCTCGAATATATGTGCAAAAATGTCTCAACCATAAGAAGCATGAAGTCTATTCGTGTGATACGCGAAAGAAAGATCTGAACTAAAGGAACGTACCGAAAGTATATCACCTCTCTGATATGAACTTTCTAATATTTCACCGTTCCGAGAAATGGAATTTCTCTACCAATCTTGATCCCAAAGAGGACCAATATTCGTAACTCTGCATTAAATATGTTTATGTCAAACTGAATACTCGACTATAAAGATTGACTGACAAAGAAACATTTCACCAAGTATTTCCTCCTTAGGAGAATACCCGTTCTATTTATACGTGAATCAATTAGATTCTGTAACAACTACTGTCAATTGAACAATCCGTTATCCTTACCTCGTATCGATGACTTATTTGATCAGCTTAGAGGATCCATTGTGTTCTCTAAGATTGACTTACGGTCAGTATACTGTCAAATCCCTGTTATGAAAAATGGACAAACTGACAATCAAGAATCGCTACCCTTCACTACGTATAGACGATTTGTTTGAAGGACCTGTTTGTTAGAAGCTATAGACAGCTCGACCTTGTTAAATAAACTGATGCCTTTCATGAAGCGATTAATGACTTAATTACTTATCGTAAAAAAAAACGTCGATGTAACCTGATTGAATAATGAAGTAAAGTGATGCTAACAAAACAAATCGATTGATTCGTTTGACGTAAAAGATCGCGACGTGGTGACAATACAAAACGAGACGTAAAATAGTAACACCAACAGTGAAAGACTGAAGAATGAAGAAAATGTAGCTGCACTGACCATACAGCTTAGAATAATATTTATGACTAACTCGTAATGTTCAAGGAAGATATTATTTCAACATGAATGCAACTTAGATTACATAAGGAAAGTTACAGATGCAATTCTAAGTCTAATCTCTCAGGATTTGCAAACTCGTCGTAACCGGCTCCAGGACCCGGGAAAGCTTTGGCAAACTCTAGTTTGTCTAAAAGCTCGTCAACAAAGAAAGAAGAAATAAAAAGTTTCCTCTGGCTGGAAGCCATGAAGTTCTGTCTCACTGCATCGTCTAAGAATTTGAGAAGGTTATTGAAATAACCGTCAATGTTTAAAAGACCAATGGGTCTATTGTGTAACCCTTCAGAAGCCCACGAGATCAAGGTAAACAAACCTTCCATAGTGTCAACTCCTCCAGGAAGAACAATGAAAGCTTCAACGACATGATTCATCTCAAAATATTTGTAGTAATTGCTGGAACCAGACCGTAATTAATAATATATTATTTTTCAACATTCTCCCTTCAATTCACATTGTGGCAAGTGCCCTTTATATAGAAAAAAAGTTGCAGAAAATTACTCGCGGGTGACGCGAGTTTTGTCGAAATAACTTTCAGGTTCCTCTATTTTCAAAAAGACAACCGAGGTCCTTATATTTTGTTGTAATGACTGGAAGGGGACATTTCATCCAATACATCATCCGTAAGTGTTAATAAATTTATTTTTTTCCTATTTTCCAATACCGTTTTTTCCTATTTTGCCATTACCTTGTTTTTTCTTTTTTTAATTTTTTTTATTTCATTTGTTTTAATATAATACAAACAATTTTGAATTTTTATACGATTTTATAGAAGAAATTCTAAAATAACACTTTAAAAAATAGTAACAAAATGAAAGAAAAACAAAGAAATAAAAAAAGGAGCGACCTAAGATTTATTACCTTAAAACATTTAGAAAAGAATAGGAAAAAAAATACATTTATTAACATTTATAGATGAAATATTGGATGAAATGTCTCCTTCCAGTCATTACAACAAAATGTAAGGACCTCTGCTGTCTTCTTGAAAATAGAGGGACCTGAGAGTTATTTCAACTAAACTCGCGTCACCCGTGAGTAATTTTCTGAAAAAAGTTGTCTTTTAAAAATAGTCATGTCTCTTTCTTTTCTTAGTCATGTCTATTCATTTAAAAAACTTCTAATTTGAATTCCAAATAAATCTTCCAAAGTTATGTCATTTAAGAATGAGTATTTGTCTCTAATAAAAGTTATGATCATTCATTTCAAGTTCAATTTTGATTTCAAAATAAATATCACAAGCGTGTTTCCATATGCCCACCAAAACACAAGAATATTGGCAGACTGAAGAGTAGATCTCCCTTGATGCGATTCGTCTGAAAATTCACTAGTGCCTCCCTCTTAGCCGAAATCCAAGCCTGCTTTAGAATATCACATAGTACATCGAACATTCCTCACTAAATTATGAGGCCCCGTTTGGTACACGGAATTCAAACTATGGAATTGGAATTGAGTGCTTCAATTCCAATTCTGGTGTTTGGTAGCACAAAAATTATGTGGATTTGGAATTGATAGTGAAAAAAATGAATTGGAATTGGCAGAATTCAATTCTATGGAATTGAATCTCATGGAATTTCAATTCCAATTCAATTCCAATTCCATCAATTCCGTATACCAAACGGACCCTGAATGTATTTAAACACGGGTAACTCCTCCTTGCGATAGACGAAATGTTCGCCAGAAGTATCTAAACAAACCTAATGACAAACTAGATAGGGCTTATCGATTGGAAATTTAGAGATAAATTTGATATCCCACGTGAAATGTGAACGAAGTTTTGTGGTTATAGTATTTTCAATTCCGTTATATTTTGTTTGTATGAATTTGAAAGCCGCACGTATGACTTTGTATTATTTATAATGCAAGCATGATTTGATATTATTTTAAAATTTGAAAGATGTTATGTTTCAGAGAATTTTGTAAATTTTCAATTGACAACTCTACTAATATTAAAATTTTAATTTTCGCGGCAGTATCAAATTGGTTTTGGGGAGTTGTGTTTCCATAATCTTACAACTTTTGTGACTGACATGAGAATTTTTTTTCTATTTGACCCATATGTGTGCATCGATATTTTGATGTTTCGCACTGACTCAAAATGTTAGTACGATCGAAAAATCTTGCATTAAAGTTTCCTTTGACACTAGTTAATGGATGTGAAGTGCGTTTAACACTTTACTGGTATTTTAGTAAGGACTTGTTCTTTAGAACTTGAACTCTTAACTTCTAGTTTCTTCCAGTTCTTTTCAGTTTCTTCCAATTTCTTTCAGTTCTTCCAGTTTTTTCCAGTTCCTTCCAATTTCTTCCAGTTTCTTCCAGTTTTTTCCAGTTTTTTCCAATTTCTTCTAATTTCTTCCAACTATATTTATTTTTCTTCAAATTCTTTCTACTTTATGACAAATCACTCTAAAAAAATATTATTATTATTATTACAATTTTTTTTAATTATAAATTTTATGTTCATAACTATAGTTTATAAATTATTTCATTTTTTTCATCTCACTATTTTTATGATTCACATTCATTATTATTTTTTCTTCAACTTTTTAATACGAATAATATCGTTTTTTGTATATTAATCTACATGAAAAATTAAGAAACTATTTAAAAAAATTATGGATAAATAGTTATATAGAATATTTTTTAATCTAAATTTATATAAGGTAAACATCAATATTTTAATCTAAAATATAAAGTATGGAATGTGGTGGGGAGTACTACATTATGAAAACCAAGAGAAAACTACATTTCGAAAAAGAAAATATGACCCAAGAAGTGTAATATTTATGCTAATTTTATATTCTAATTATTTTTTTAAACTAGCTTTTTATATATGAAAAATAATACTCGTAATATTTTTTTATCTTAAAGACAATCATTAAAATAACGTGATAACACCACCACCACCACCACCAACAACAACAACAACAATAATAATAATAATTTATAACAACAAGAATCAGAATGAGAATAATATAAAACCACACATAAAAAAAAATTTAAAACTTTTTTTAGATTTTTCAATTTTTTTCTAGTTTTTTCAGTTTCTTTTAATTTTTTTTAGTTTTTCCAGTTTCTTCCAGTTCCTTACAGTTTCAGTTTCTTCCAATTTTTTCCAACATCCAGATCTTTTTTTCCAGTCCTAAAGAACAGGCCCTAAATCTAATATGGACTATCTAAAAAAAACATTTTAGTAGTAACTAATGGTTATGAAAAATATTTTAATTTATTTCTTGAATCTTAAATAGGTTGTTAATTCAAAGCATTCATTTTGTTAACTCTATCCAACATAAGCAAGCG